TGCACACACATACCTGAGTCCTGAAATAATCACAAAGCTCTTCTATGGCTGTCCAGGTCACAACTGAACTTCAAAGAGAGATATCAAAGCGGAGGCAAATTCCAGATTAGAGGAGGCATTTCTGAGAGCGAGAAAACAGCTTTACCTGCAAGATGACCTGACACGTGGTTCCTGTTATTTGTGTATTTGTGGCAGTATTTCTCTACTTTGTAGCGGTCAGAGAAAAGGATATACAGTAGGTGGTTGGGGGCAATAGTCATGTGTGGGTTGGTTACACATGGTGGTCGACTCTCTTGTTCTGTTATGCATTCATATAGGAGTGGGTTACCCAACCAAAAATATCTATCTATCTATAAATTATTTAATCTCAATCACGATTTAAATTGAGATCTTTTGCCTGCAGATTTCTCCATTGGCACCATAAAAACATGATATTGCATTTAAGATTTCAAAATGGTGATTAAAACCTGAGTTGTAAACAGAAGCCAAAAGCTATATAATCACAATTTTCAAGTACTAACAACTAAATTGCATTGTTTACAATACGTCACCCAAAGAAAAGCTACATGAATGAATTCTTTTTTTATATTTTGCTTGGTGCTACTTTAAATACTGTAATAAAAACTACTTAATTCTTCTAAAGTCTATAACAGAATAGGACAATATGTTTCAAAAAGGTAGTGCTCAGCCAATATATTTAAATGTGAAATCACTCTTATTTGCTTGGTAAAATACATTTTAATAACAGATATGAATGGTGTAATTTTTGCTGAAAATATCGCAGGTTGCAGGCATGTGGGTGAGCATGAAAAGATCTCTATAAAGCTGTGGTTTGAAAAGGTTTGGGAACCACTACTGAAAAGGACACAATTTAATTTGTTATTGTAATAATATTTACTTTTCATAGAAGCGGAGGAGGAGAGAATAGTGCTAAAAAAAAACAAAACACCTTTTTATGATAAAAGTGTTGTTCCTAATCACTTGCACTACTCATTGTACTTTCTTTTGTCGTGGCAATTGTTTTGTTCCCATAGCAGCAGCTAGAGAAAGGAATAGTCACACACACTGAATTCTACCATGAAGAGATATTTCAACCCGGTCTAACTCCCAAGTCGTCAAATATGCTCAGTGGCCCTCCGCTTTAAGATATGACGCTATACTATGTTCTAGCATCATTTCTGGATACACCCGCCATCAAAGTCAGGTGGGGTAGTATAGAGCGCAAGAAAGTCAGCATGTGGCATGGTGACTACAATATCGTTTAAATAACATACACAAATTACATCAGCTAAGTGTACTTAAGTTATGTCAAGCATGTAACGTAACTTACGATATTTTCCTAAACCTAACCAAGTGTTTATGGCTTAAGCTAACCAAGTAGTTTTCAGTACTTGTCCATAAATGACGCTAGAGAGGCACCTACAGCGGACGGCCACTGACCAAGCAGCAGTACTTGACGAGTTGGGGGTGAGAAAGTGGAGATTTCCCCTCATCTCCACACTCCTTTCCACTCTCACTTATTTCTTTTTCTTCGTCTTATAAATATGTGAAACGTGTTTGGTGTGCAAGTGCTTTCAGGCCTGGTATAAGAGAAGAGACTCATCAAGAGTAAAGAACTGACCACCACCACCATATAAATCAGACCAATAAGGTGTAGAGACTGTAAATGTAAAAGCAGCTCATGACTGTTCTCCTCCAGCAGTTCGTCTTGTTCTGCTTAACCGTCCCCCCTGGCTGGGGCTGACCATGGTTTGGTACCTTGAGATTTATGCCTCCATTGATTATTGAGCTGCTCCTGTAGAGTGTGAACATTAGGCCTCCAATATTTACTGGTACTCTAAAGCACTTTAGATAAAAGCTCAGATAGTCTGTTTAAAACACTTGTTACACTCAACACTTGTTCCGGTGTTGGTGCGGAACCATAATTCAAAAAGATTATTATTCCTCATGTGGAACGTGTCGGTTTAATACATCAAAGATGCTGGCATTGAGTCAGAGAGGTCACATCGCAGCAAGGCATTAAAACGATCATTAAAAGCTTCCGCTACACCACTCACACAGCACATATAAGCATATATAACAAATGGAGGTCTAAAATGAGTGATCTGATTCCGACGCTCTGTCATGTGGCAGGAGTTTAGCACCCACTGAGTGAGTGATGGAGAGTGAACCCCGTGTGTCGGGAGGATTGTCAGGTCCACAGATGACTGCGACCAGAATAGGCGCCACGAGAGCAGCTGCCAGGACAGGAATACGGTAGCAAAACAGTGGGGTGAAAGGGGAAACCCTGTCGCCTTCCTCCGGCTTCTGTATGCGGCTCGCTGCACCGCTGAGAGGAAGGAGGGAGGGATGGAGGGAGGGAAGGCAGTTTGTGAGAAGAATCAGACAGTGGCAGAGAGAGCTGGGAGAGATAAAGTGAAGTAAAAAATGGAAATGTTGGAGAAGAACAGGAGGTAAAGGAGCAAGGAGGGAGATATTAAGAGAGAAAATATGAGGAGTGGAGGAAAGTGCCTGAGGCTGTGCTGTTCGTTAGTAAGACACTTCTGAGGGTAGTTCTCTGACTAATGAATGCTACAGTATCTGGCTGTGTATCTATCCCTGATATGTAGAATCAGGCAAGACCCAACTGGATTTTGATAGATAGATAGATTCCAAATAGTGTGTTCCAGTTTGAGAGTTAGAGGTCCAGTTTGTACCATTTAGTAGAAATGGAATATAATATTCATAGGTATGTTTTATGTGAATATAGGAATCACTGTGTTTTTGTTATCTTAGAATGAGTTGCTTTTATCGACAGACACCGCAGGTTGCCTTCCATGGAGTCTGCTATGTTGCTACAGCAGCCCCATAGTTTAATAAGTTGTATACCACAGTTTCGTTCATCTAATCACTTTTTAGAGTTAGAACAATCTTTAAAATATATACTAATAGTTATCGTTGTGGATGACCCTTCACTCGAAAAGACTAATTTATGAATTTTATTTTATAAATCTGCCATTTACACTTGCAACTGAACCAAGTTTTGTTGATTTAAAATCTAGTTGTGGCTTGATTCATTCTTGCTGTCAGTTTTTGGCATCAGAAATGTGATTTCTTTCCTTGGGAATAAATTTAATGGATGGGAAAAAAGAAGAGAGGCCATTACTGTACGACTGTAATTAGTTTTGACGACAGAAGGTATTGTAAGCAACACAAAGCACAACTCCCGCAGTTATAAACAATCCTCCACCAAGTTACATTTCGCTTTTATATGGTCAAATTTGGGATGACAAGATCCTGGCACGAGTTCCCTTTATCTCCCGTTGGATGTCTCCCCATGTCACTGCTGTCTGTCTGTCTCTTCTCTGATGCTCTGCCTTGTACCTTGTCCTCCAACAACACACACCACACCACACACACACACCACACACAACCCACACACCCACAACGCACACACACACGAACACACACAAGCACCACCACACCAACACCCAAAAAGAGCACAGCCACACACCAACCACCCGCACAACAACCAGCCTATGACACCTGCAGAAAACAAACATGAATAGAGGCGCATCACTATCAGGTTAATTAGTGGATGGGATTAGAGTGTGTTGAGAGGCATGGCTTAGGGAGGGAGGAGGTAGAGGAGTGTGCAGGGCATGGCAGTTCATGTGGAGCAGCATCTGGATGCTGAGATCACCAAACATGAGGAGGCTGCAATTAAAACCTCTGCTTTGTCTTCGCTGGATTATCAAAGACGGAGAGGGGAACAGAAAAGAGGGAGACGAGGAGAGGAAACCAGCAGCAGAAGTTCTGCCTCACACGTGGTAGCTGATCATTAGTCTGCACTTTGGGAGTCTGAATCACAGCACAAGCACTCGCACCGACGCAGAACTGAAAATCAACAATGCTCTCTCTTCCCTCGCCTCCTCCCTCTATCCCTCCCTCTCATCCCTCCCAGCAGGCGGGCAAATGTAGATACACAGCCAGAGGACGGAGCTACGTACCGAGCGCGTGTTTCAGAAAACCAAGGTCGTGGTGTATCGCTGAAATTACAGCCTGCGAATATTTGTGGAAGATAGGGCTGTGTGAATGTGCATGTGTGTGACGTGAATACTGAATCATTCCTCTTTCTCTGAGTATGTGAACCAGCAGCCTCTTGCCATGAGATCGTCCCCTTTATTCTTTGTTAAATGGTCAATTACAAGTTTAATAAATGACCACTGATTGGCACATGCACCAATCACCCTCAGCAATGCTAAAAATACATCACTCAAATACCCATTAACTGTCACCGGTTCTGGCAGTCGTGTATCATTAAATGTCTCCTGAGCCTTCAGCTCAAAGTGAAAGTTTTGATTAAGAAGGCTGTTGAATTGCAGCCTTCTAACTTTGCAGTGAGCTTCCTGTGATCTATTAAGACATTTAACTCTAATTATTGTTTCTGGTAAACCCATTAGTAGCTACAAAACATTTTCATTGTTGACATATGTCTTTAGTTATCCTGCATTTTCCATATAATGTTCCCATCCTGTGTGGCTTCCTGTCTCAGAATACCTCCTGCAGATGGAGTAACTATAAAGCCAGCTCCAGACTGCTTCGTTTTAATGCTTAATTATTAGATACATATAAATCCCTCAGACCTTCGGAGTAAAAGCCTCGACCTTGTGCTGTTCTGCTAAAAGCTCTGTTATAATCTCTGCTTGTCTTTTATTCTCACAAGGTAACTGGAAACAGATAACACTCATTTTAGTGGTGCAGGATGGGATAGTCGGATATTCTCAATACATTGCCAAAAAGAAAATCAAAGTAGGCTATATCCTGAATACAAAATGACTTACAGCTGTTTGAGCTGAATTAAGCTTAATTGGATGAAAAACCTGATACTGAAAGTAGGTGAAACATCTCAAGATTAGGTCTGGCCATGGGGGCTCAGCCGAAAATCAAGTAAAATCTTATGAAAATGTCCCCAATAAATCTTTTAAACATACACACATACAGTGGGAAGCAGAACTTACCTGTGTCCTGGGAGTTGAGCACCTCCAGGGCGTGCATCATGGCACTGGCAAATACGTTGGCGTCCTCCTTGCTGCCGAAGTTGAGGCCGTAGACCTGTCGGGCGTCGCGCCACTGGTGGAAGGTCTGCGTGGCCTGGTTGTACTTGAGCCCCTTGGGAATGGCACAGTTTATCACCACCTGGATTTGAGCGAGGGAAGGGAAAAAGTGAAGAGGAAAAAAAACAACTTTTATGATTATTGAGGTAACATGTTAAGAATAGGCTTAAACCTTGCGAGGCAGCTGGACTTGAGAGATCACTAAAACCCGAGTTCATACGAGAATCCATCTAGCCCGGCTTCAGTCTATGTGCTTGTGGCGAGCCTTCGCCAGTGTTAACAAGCTTGGCATTTTGAAAAGGGCTCCCCCTTGTGGCAATTCAAAACAAATCAGGTGATCAATACAGAACAGGAAGATACCTTTTTGAAGTGAAACCAGGTGAGGATATTCATGATTATCCCAATAATTAAAATTTTTTGTTTATTTATTTTGATATACAATACTATTAATCATATATCGGCCCATCCCTTGCTGAGAGCTTAAACTGACAGGAAACAGCCTTTTGGAGAAGATATGGAAAACTTGAAGCATGTTGTAACCTGACCTGAGATTTGTGGCTTAGCAGCACAAACAAAGACATAAACACAAGGAGTAAAAGTATTGTAGCATCAGCCTATTAATCACTCTCAGTCAGGACACTACCTCTGTCCACCTGCTCACAAGATCACAAAGATGATTCACACACACCCTGATCTTGTCCCACGAAACAACCCCAATCTCATTAAACACAAAATAACAACACAGGGGCTCTGTAGCCATTATGTGGTAAAAGGGCATTTTTACCTGCTCGTAAAGTCACTTTATGATCCACTCAATCTGAGTTTAGGGTGCTTTGGATGCTAACATCAGGGATTTTAGAGTTCTGGGCACACGGCCAAGCAAAAAGGCCTCAAGCTACTCCTCTCTGAGTTATTGAGACAAAAAATGAGGGTCTCGAACTGGGAGCCCCAGAACCTGAGGGACTGTGATGACAACAGATTTTGATTGTCCATGCTCAGAATGTGAAAAGCAATTTTAACTTAAAGATATTAATCTGCATCATAATCAGTGAATTTCTGGCACTGTGAAACGAGGGGATGATGTACAAACACTCGTTTTGTGACTTTTCATCTGATAAAGCTGAAATACCCTGAAAAGATGAGTAATGTAGTTTAATCTCATAATCATGTCATCTCATATCTAAACTAATAAGAGACTGAACCCAAAACATTCCCCTGCAGGGGCCCAGTGGTCGAAAGCTTATTTTACGGGGTTAGTTAAGATTTCAGAAATCCCATGGTGAAACCGAGGGATTAAACTGTACTGAGAGCGGCCTTCAAAAAGGTAATATTTTCACCTGAAAACACAATATTGCTTTGGCCAATAAACAGCTTCTAGCGCTAAAGCCTGTAACCAATCTGCTGGTTTATGGAAAACAAGGTTGGTCGCTGGTGCCGGCAAAATTTATTTTAACCCAGCAAGAAATAATCTAGTGTCAGTTTCTGTGGTTATTATAATGTCTCTCTGGCAAGCGTGCAGGGAGTCACATAAGCGTTCTTTTATTGTTGATGGACTGGGTAATAAAACAAGCAGCCAGTAAATGTGAGAAGGAACTGAGCGGGTGTAAGTCTAGATGCTTATTGTAGGTGGCAGTGAATAAAACAAACGGACGAAATGTGCATCTTATGATAGCGGTGCCACACAAACTGACAATCAGCCTGAAGCTCCGAGTGTGAACCAGTAACACAAACACAGCTGCTCCAACCACCGACTTCCTATTCCTATTTTTTATTTTTTTTTAATTAGTTGATAAGATCACACTTTGACCAGTGTTTGTACATCATGTTAGTCCTGTATCACGGTTTCGGGATTAAGTGGGCCGGAACAACAAAATTGTGACGGTCAATCAGAAAGGAAGGAGGGAAGATACTGCACTGTAAAACAGGAATCTCAAGAAAGTAAAAAAAGCCTTCTTTCTGGGAAATCAGTTTTATTTTTTGCCTAAACAGAAAAATAATCTTGTCAAGCATGTTTTGCATTTCAAAAGTCATCTCAAGAAAATCTAACTTTGTCTTAATAACATATTAAGCTAATATTGAGCTCGATTGACTCAGTAATAACAATGATTTGCATAATATGCCAGAAGATTATTTTCCTTATATTAAGAGTAAAACCACTTACACAATTTCTCAGTTTTAGAGAAAGTAGTCTCTCCCAGTGTTGGAAATGAAGCAGCTTAGCAGATCTTTTTGCTAATTATTAATCTTCTAAGATTAAAGTACATTAAATTCAGCTCAGTAAAGTGACCAAAATACTTATTCTAAGAAAGTCTATCTTAAATAACTGACTCGTTGCTTATAATGAGCACATTCTTTCTAGTTTTAAGGCCCTTTACAGTCTTTAAGTGGCAGATTTTATTTTCTCCTCACAAGAAAATGTTATTATATTTCAGAATATTTGTCTTGTTTCTAGAAGGGCTAAAAATTAACACACTGTTAACTTTTTTCTGATCTGCCCCTCTTTTAATTTGTCTATGCAAACACTTTCCTGGTTCCCTTTTACTTTGAAACATCGACAGGAGGTGTCAGCTTCAGCAGCTTAACACCAATCAAAAAAGATGGCAAAGCAATTGGAATTATTTCAGTTCAGTGTGAGTAATGATGAGTTTTGGGTTAGAAATGAGTCTAATGTTTTTAAAGAGGTCAAAATTTCAAACAAAACACAGATGGAAAAACTTTGAAATCTCTGTTCCGTGAATGTTAGAAGTAGGTGAAGCTGTATCCTTACTGCTACTGTATGACAAGGATAAAATTAGTGTTGTGAATGGCTACTATTTGACCAGTTGTTGAACACCAGCTTTATTTGTACTGAAGAGACAGAGGCATCATGACTCATTCTCCTCCCTCCATCTCTCCAGCCACATTGGGAAACTCAGACAATAAGACACAGAGGACTCTGGGATTGCTGAGGGTTAGGGAATCACTCACATGCTGTCATCACACACACACACACACACCTTTTCTTGTGTTTTGCAGGAAACTTCATGTATTATTACACTGGAAATGTAAAAATAAAAGCACAGGGTATACTGTATACACACATCCATAATGCGCCGGATGTTCCTATATAAAGTGAGGATTATGCTTGCCATCAAGCTGTGAGCTGATCTGAGCTCCTATTTCTGCTCCCATTTCCTCCACCTTCCAGGACTCTGCAGTGTATGAGTGATTGTGTGTGTTCATATGAGCTCTGCCGTGTGTGTGCGTGCTTTCATGTATGTTGCTTGTGTGTTTCTCTTAGGGATGAGAGCTTAGCAGTCAGTGAGAAGTGCTGACATACACTGGATTTAGAAGAGTTTGAGTCAAGGAGAAAACAGCTCAAAACTGAGGGAAAAAGGTTCAATGGAAGGTCAACTAATGTGTGTGTGTGTGTGTGTGTCTGTGTGTGTCTGTGTGTGTCTATAATTGTTCATATCCATTTTCAGTTTCCCTTCCAAAATGTCTTTTTTTTCCACAGAGTGACAATGTCCCAGCACAGAGTGTGAGGAGACACTGTCTGTGTGCTTTAACAAGCACTTGGCAACAAAACACGCTTGTTTTTTTTAAAAATCTTTGTAATCATCTGGAAAAAAGAGACACACAAAGATTTGTGCAAAATGTATAAACTCACTGGCTCTTAAAGTTTGTGTTTAGCTCCTGGGACCCCCCATAACCCAGCCCCTCATACCAGCAGGCAACTTTAAACTGTATTACTTGCGTATCAGCTTTAAGAAGCTTTGAGGTCATCATTAATTCAGGTCAACCTTGAGAGTACTGAGCCCACACTGTCATATTTGTGTGTGCACATGAATACCACAGGATTCCCTGGCTATGTAGTCATGTGTTGGCATCATTGGATACTTAAAAGTGAATATTTTCATATACCATATTTGGTAACAGTCCGCTTTGGCCTCCGGCTCTCAGATTTAAGAACCTTTATGAACCTACAATCCCCCTCAGTGACTGGTGTGCAGTAGGGGTTCTGCCAAATGTGTCACGCTCAACATGTTTGAATATGGACTGTGTCCATCCAGTCTGCTACATGAGTGGCTGTTGGAAGGGGCCCACATGGACTCTTTATGGGTGTTATATAACACATATTCAAGTATAATGGGATTTTTAATCAAAGAGAAGTCTGAAAACAGATACTGATGGAAACAAACCATTAACTGCCTCTCAAAACAATAACTTAATACATAGCTGCTGCTGTTAATCTGTAATTTACCATCAGTCTCATTTTGAATTATTGATTGTGCCTTTAACAAAAACCAACAGTACTCACTTATAATGAAAAAGGTCAGTGGCTAAAGAGTTCTTAAGGCTGATTGACAAAATATCAAATGAAAGGCAATACATGCATTTATAATTGTGTATTATACTGCAGTTACTTGGCTCTTCCATTGTTAGTATTAATCCAGTGTCCTAAAATGCAACTCTTGATTGATTATGCTAGCTAGCTAGTGCATAGTAGTACACAGTACATCACTTGAAATGTGGCAGATGGGTAAGTGGTCAGATTTATTTCTCTGTTTCTTGTTATTAGTGTAACAAATGTCTCACTAATATGTAAAATTTGAATCATGCTAAAATTGCCATCCATATAAGGAACCTTCATCAGTAACTGTGACCACTGCCTCACTCCAACTACCCATGCTGGTGTCACAGAGTCACTACAACTGGCCACCGCAGTAATGGTGGCATACAAATGGACTGCTGGATTAGTGTATATAGTGTGTATTTATTCCATACATCTGATGCACTGAATGAATAACGCTTCTGTGTGTGTGCAGGTCTTTGTACTCGTTCCATCCACTGACCTGATGATCCTGGATCTTGCGCCCCACCACGCGGAAGGCATTGTTGCCCGTATGGTGGTAGATGTGGACTCTGCTGAAGCCTGTGGAGCCGCCGGCTGGGACCCACTTCTTGTTGGCATCGTCATACACCATGACAGCGGCTCGCGCCTGGCAGATACTCTGTTCACTGTGGGAAACACAGAGACACAAAGAGAGTGAGAAAACCATCACACATCAGGTAGAGAGAAACAATCCAATCTGATGGTCAAACATGGATTTCAGCTAAGCTGATACATCTCAAAAAACAAGGTGTACTGTGGTCTACTGATGCCAACTCATGTGGCCCCAGGGAGCTTGTTAACAATCTTTGATTTCTCCTGTTTTTCATTCTTTTGTTTTCCTCTCTGAAGTAAACCTTCAGACTGAACACATGTTGTATTAAAGTTATAAAAGCCTGAAGGATGTTCTGGACTGTGATAAGAGATAATGACGCTGATGCAACAGGTGTAGTGGAACCATGTGAGAGTACAGCCTGCGTGTCTATTTAATTACTGCTGTAATTGGAACGACACACCACCATCTTTCCTCCGGTCAGTATGACCCTGCTACACACACACTGACACAAATAAATGCCAATGAACTTAACTATATACTAATATATTTCAGTAGAATCCATGCTGGCTTTTTCATTCACTGACTCTTCACTGAATCTTTGTGAAGTAAAATAAGGTTTGTGTTTTTTTATTTTTTTTCATTTAACTTTTGTGAATGCAATGTAAGACCTGTATTACATCCATACAGGCAAAAAAGTAGAAAGGATATGAAGAGAAATTGGTATTGGTTTCATGACGGCTTTGTTTTGTAGTGCATGATCAACACACATTTTGCCTAAAAACACATTTAAAAGTTAATGTTTATGTTAAGTAATGTTAACTCAGGGCGCCCTGGTAGCTCACCTGGTAGAGCTGGGCCCCCATGTACCAAGGCTGAGTCCTTGCTGCAGTGGTCATTGGTTCATCCCCTCTCTCTCTGCTCCCTTTCCTGTCACTCTACAGCTGTTACTATCGATTAAAGGCAACAAAATTCCCCAAAAACATATATATATATATTACTTTATTTACTTTTGTTAAAGTTACATTAAGTCCATTAATCCAATCAGTTTGTAAGACCTGTCAAAATCATATTTAAGAGCTCTTCGGATCCCTCTGTATGCTTTAATGACGAATTACTAATAACCAGGACTGCCTTCAGACAGCAGACACAGAAGAGTGAAAAATGAATAAGAGATACACAGAAGGAGAATATGTTGTGTTAGACTGGCTTGGATGCACCGCATCAACACCGCCTTTAGCATTTTCTGGAGTCTACAGAATGCTATTACTATCTTACAAAAGCACAAGGACTGAGTTCATATGAGATTAGGTTCAGACAATTTCAGCCCTTGAGCGCAAAACTAATGAAATCTGCTTCATGGGCAGCTGGCTGTGTTTTGTATCCGTCACTAAATAACTACAGTGACATGCCTCGTAATTGATAGCTGGACACGTAGCAGTTGAGCGCCTTGTGTTTAAAGGACACTCCAGCAATTTAGTGCTGCAGTTCCAGAAGGTTGGGGCTCTCACAGGAGACACATTAAAAAAACAGTCAAAATAAGAAAAGACAGGCTGAGATATTCAGATTATTAATCCCTAATATGGGTCAACTTTCAATCACAGTGTTCCTACATTTCCCATGATGCCAATAGTTAGGGAATTTTTTTCCCAGTTAAAATGATAACCAATAAGTTCCCCTACACACTTCACAGCCCGTTC